CATTATATTAGGCAGTGGGCTATTTTGCCTTAATGCAACTTTGTGCTTATGCAGTTTTTTAGTGCTGATGTGTATCGGGGGGTTTATAAAAATCTTAGGGTACTGTAGCACAGCAAGACAAAACGCATTAGTTGATCATTTCTATTTGCCAAAGGCTACAGTAATGACATAGAGTGGAACCATTGTTGAGATTTTTGTAGAGACATTAGCCACATTTATACTACCCTTTTGAAACCGTGCCGAGAACGGTCCGAGCATGGTAACCGAGATAACTGTTGAGTGTAAATGGAACGCAACTGAACTGGACCGTGCCAGACCCGAATGAACTGCGTTAAGCCCTACTTTTGAACTAGTACTAGATTCAGTTGTGGCTCTGTTCTCAGATAACAAAGAGCGCATGAGCAGACCGCATCATCTCCTATTTATAGTCAACTGACTCATTCAGTGGGTTTTCTGGCATGTCCAGCTTTGCAATTCGCAGATCTTTTTACCTGTTCATAAAGCAAACTTCTTCTCATCTTATTGACAACAAATAGCAGCAAAAGAGTGTGGTGAGACCTGGGAAAATGCAGAGATCGAGGCTCTCATTGAAATTTGGAGGGAGGACTCTATCTGTATAGGACCCTGTAGTTCGTGAATGTTTTGGGCGCCGCCATTTTTGTTTTGCGTAATTCCCGCATTGAGAGCTGTAGTATGGTGGACTGATGTGTAAATGATCATAAAGAACAAAGCTCGGCACAGTTAACTGATCCAAGCTAGGTCTGAACTCGGCAAAGATCGGTTTCAGAGGGGTAGTGTAAATGGGGCAAGGGTTAAATATATAGTCTCTACATGATGAATTCATTAGCAAAGTGAAAAAAAAAAACATAAAATCATAATTGTAAAAAAAAAAAAAAAAAAGATTTAATATTTATATACAGAATAAAAAGAAATGAAGGAGTTCTCCATAAAGTAAAGAACATCATGGTTAGACCTGAGTATCCTCCCTCTTAGACTCTTCAATAACAGTCTGTTCAGTCCGAGGCTTCTTCAGGCTTGCTTAAAGACAGACCACTAGAGGAGATCCCTCTTAACTACAGCAATCAAAATTTACAACTTGTTGAAGAAACCCACCATGAAGGTTACAATAACATTTCCTTTTGACATTAATAAACTATTATTTTAATTAAATTGAATCAACATACAGCACTTTTACAAGCCAAAAACAATGCAAGCTGCCTAAACTTAACCAACAGAACAAATCTTTTATTTACAGCAATTATTCTTTCCAAAGAGAAAACACTTTTTTATGTGATGTTCATAATTTCTACTGATTTTCTTTCACTTGAAGAGAAATATAGCAGCAGCAGTTTCTGCTGTCAAGAAGAAGTCTATATGTTTACTCTTCCAGTTTAGCACACAAAAAGGCACGCCTGTCATTAGAGATGTTGTTTTTGACAACCAAATCCCAGATGTGCATTAAGAAATTACTCCCAGCTTCTGTTTGTTCTTTTGGATCACATTCTCAAAACATCAGCCATTTATTAAATGTGAACGCAGACGGAGATCTTCGGATGAGTGGAAGATGTTGACGCTCTTTAAAATATTATATGCAAATGTGACTGCCAAAAGTAATTTATCTGATTTATTCGACTGTGGAAAAATATATTTCAGAGTACAGTATTTTTACCTCTTACTTTGTCTTTAACAATTTACCCATAGCAGTAATTGCATATAATCTAGTTTCATTATTCAGAGTAGGGTTTGCAATTTTGCCAAAAAAACATGCAGTATTTTTTAAACATAACTGCAATTTTATTTCGACATTCCTCTTTTCCGGGCCTTGGATGCTTTGTTGTTCAGAATAGATTGTCGCAGGACTTTTTTGTTGCGTGGAGAAGTGTTTACTTCTATTCCACATTCATTGATTTGTGTGCAACCTGCAACTCTCTTACCTTCTATGCGTATTAGTGCCACGTATTACTGTATAAAGGCCTGGAGTGAGAAATTTACTACTTTTTTTACCATTTTAAAAGCTTTTTTTAAAATGCTATTAAATCACAAATGCAATTAATTTTTTAAACTTAAATCGGATGTAATTATTGGTGCATTTGACTTTGAAAGTTTTTGTCATCATAGTTTTTAGTCTTTACCTGACATTATCAGCAATGTGTGACAATGAGGCATGGGATGTAGAAAGCTAATGAGCCACAGAAATGTCCTCCAACATGGAACCGTTTAAAATCATTTAAATGGGTCCACACTGGTTGATTTTTAAGTTGCCCTTTTCTAAAACAAGAGAGCCTTGAAAAAGCAACAAAAACCATGGAAATATGTGTCATATTTTGTCATGTTTGACATTAATGCTTTTTTTTCTACGATATACAATGCAAATATATGCATAATCATAAACATGGAATCAGGCTGACCCGCATACAAGTTCTTACTTTGACTGCACTAATCTCAACATTAAATTGCACTTTGATCCAAACTATTACTTTTTAAACAATTATTTTGGTTTGTTTCATGATGAAATCCCAGCCTCAAGACTTTTACTGCTTCTCTGTGGGTTTTTCTTCTAAACCTGCCCCCCAACTGCACGACCCAGATGCAATGTAGAGTATAGGTTACTCTAATCTGCTTCCCTGTGCTTATTATAATAGGCATTCCTACAGCATGGCACTGCCAACAACACATATAGCACCATTTACCCTTCCTTTTAGAAACCGTGCCAAGATCGGTCTGAGAACGGTAACCGAGATAACTGATGAGTGTAAATGACATGCAAAACTGAACCAGACCGCGCTAGACACAACCGAACCGCGCTACACTGGTACTAGTTCATCAATAGGGCTCGGAACGGTTCAGTTCAGGCTCAGTTCTCAAATAACAAAGAGCGCATGAGCAGGCCGCATCATCTCCTTACAGTGAGAATCCGTAATCATGAAATTTCAGACATTCATAAAAATACTAGCTTCCCTACCGTGCCACACGATTTCCAGTGTTGAATACCATAGATCAACACTAGGAGGCGAGGAACCATGCTAGTGTGGTGTAAACAGTCCTAAGGAACCAAGCTCAGCACGGTTAACTGATCCAAGCTCGGTCTTAACTTTGCACGGATCACTTTTCAGAGGGTAGTGTAAATGGGACTTATGCAATCATCTGTCCTTTAATAAATGCAGCAGAAATATTTGAGTGTGAACCTCCACTTAGTCCTTTTTAAACACATACAACTTCATATGTCAAATGTTAAAATAGTAATAATATGAGTGGTTGAACAGGTTGGGAATACATGCACTGAAATTCTTTTTAATAAAGATGGTGTGTTTTCTCTAATGGTGATGTGTGGTATCAGTTTGCTAACTGATATATGGATCAGAATGTAAAATTTGGTCTCATCTGTCCAGATCAACTATTTGCACATCATGTTTGCTGAATTCCCTGCATGACTTGATAAAACTCCAAGTTCCACTCTTTCATAAAGTGAGGTGGATAACTAAGAGTTGTCGTGCCAATAAATTCTACTACTGAAGATTTGAATCTCTGCAGCTACTGCAGTATAATAATGAACCTCTTGGATGAATCCCTGATTTCCTCTTTCCTGCTTTTCAATTGAGGTGAATTGCCATGTCTTGATTTACTGTTGTGATATAGTCTTTCTATTTTCTGATGAAGATTAGAGCAGTGCTGTGAAAAGTTAAAGGCATTGAAATTTTATTTTCTTTCCTGCAGAGAACTTCCCTCAACATCTAACAGTAGACAAAATTGCACACAGGTTATTTGTACTTACTAATTAGATGACATTGGAGGTGTAAGAGATTGATATGCTGAGGTTAGTGATGAATATGCTTGCAATGCTGCTTTGTCATTTGTCATATATATATATATATTATTTTCACTTTCAAAGTTGCTATTAAATCTCCACCTTAACTGTGACTCTATAATGTGGTTGGATCTTGGTTCAACATATTTTTATCAGCTGAGCAATCATTTCTCTTACCTGCTCTTCCCACATTGTGTCCACTCAATAGTGATCTCTATTCTCTCAGCATCCGACTCCCACACTGTCTTTCTCTTCTTCTTCTCTACCCCATCTCCCTTGCCCACTGACACATGCACATTTGCTAAATATTGCTGTGAAACTGCCAACTCCTCACATTTACTATCGCGCCTGAAAAAAACCCAGATGAATAACGGCAGACAAAGGGGAATGGCAGGTGATACGATGCAGGAGCAATTGATCAGGCCTTTCCAAATCCATTTACTGCTTCTTGGTGGTGGGAGCATCAAAGGGTGTCACTGTGTGCATTTGTGAAATGTATTTATCAAGACAGCCAATCTAAGTATAAGTAGAAGAACTGGAATAAATCTTTTAAAAAAGCAACAGAAAGTAAGCCCAGTATTCTGCATTGTAGGTAACTTGAGAGGTGTTTGATGTTCAATCATTTCTGCAACGTGCCATAATTGGACAATGGATGGGATAGATGAAGGGTGCTGATGGCAGAGGGAAAATAAGGGGTGGTGGTGAAAGAAAAGCACCAAGGGGGAAGTGTGGGCCCCCTACCCTGAACTTGAACTTCTAGCTAGTGGCTGCCGAGGGGGGGTTGGAGAGGAGAGAACAGGGTCAAGCACCACGAAGGGAAGAAAAGGAAAGACCCAGCTGAGTGACACTGGTGTCTCCCTGCTAGAAGACAGTTGGAGGATGGGGGAAGGTTTGGTTTTGCTGCACAAGCAGGTCCAGCAGTTAGTCTGACTCCTTCTACATAGTTTTATCACAAGACTTAAAGTGCAGTCTCAGATCTGTCTTTTCCTGCCTTTCAAGATGTGCTCTAGAAACAGCTTCATTTAGACTATTGTGGGGTCGCTGTCTTGAGGACCATGAACACTGATTAACATTGTTTATTTGGGTTTCATATTTTACAATAGCTCTAAAAGTAAAAGTATAAAGATTGACAGAATAAATGAGAAATTTGCACAGTTGAGTGTTTAAATAGGTCAAACTGGCCGGACAGTCCTACCTTCGTCTGGAGATAGTGGGGGTAGTAGTAGGTGTAGTGGGGGTACATTGGCTGCTGCTCCAAACGTTTTCCCATGTAGATAGAATCCAACTGAAGGTGCTGAAGGATGGAGATAGTAGCTCACAGGTTCGGTATGGTCACTTCCAACCACTGGCCTGGATCCTTTAGGGGGGGTGTTCGGAGAGTGGATTTTTTTTCTTGCTGTTAGCGTTTTAGATGCAAAGCATACGGGATGGACAGGAGGATGGACTGTGCATGGGATTTCAGTCTGACCGGATCTCGCAAGGAACTGTCTTTTGGGGGGTTTGGATTGCGTAAAGCCAGGGTAGCAGAAAAGGATAATTTAGGGAGACAGATGTGTGGGGTTAGAAAAGCAAAATTCAGAAGGATAGTGGTCAAAGAAAGAAAAAAAAGGGAAAACTAAAGCGTAGGACTAAAAGGGGGTAAAAGGAGCGGGAAGAGGGGGATGTGGAATTAATGGTTGCGCTCTGCTTGCCTCTTTTTGACACTATGTGATTTAGAAATTAGAATCACTCCTCTTCTCCGGTGCCCTGAACATGCCTTTCAATTTTTTCCTCCAATGTCTCTCTTTCTCTTGTTCTGTCTGTTGTTCTGTTTTATCCAGTCCTTTTCCCCTCTTAAATCAAAGGAGAAGTCTGATCCCAACGGGAGCCCAGCTGTATCCTGAAGAACACACGGCGTCCTTCTTGGTCTATCCTCAAGACACAGGAATCAGCGATGAACTTGCACATGGATGTTGAACCGGAGAGAGAGAACAGGAGGAGGAGAGGAGAGGGTGGTCTGGATCTGAAGCTGTGACTGTTTTTTTTTCCTCACTCCCTCCCTCTTTTGTTAAGCTCCAAGGATAGATAGGTAGATATCGCTGGAGTCTTGCACGGAGGATGAGCAAAGAGGGGGAAAAAAGCCTTGGTGAAAGGTTGATATCCAGACGCACTCTCACAAAAAAGGAAAATCCCCTCTGATTCACAAGGTGCCCCTCCAACTCTTTTCTCTCTTCTTCTCGGCGATCTTCTCTTTCTTCTCAGGCTCTTTCCCTGACGGTTTGCTTCCCACTGAGCCTGGCAGCCGTCACTGTGTCTGAGTGTGTGAGTAGTGCTGGTGGAGGCAGCGGCGGTGGTGCTGTATGTGTGTGACTGTGGATGTAACTGAGAGGGAGCGTGTTTGTGTGTCTGCTGGCGTCTGCTCCGCTCTGTGTGCGGAGGCATAGAGGGGCTCGGCTTCGCCACAGCTACGCTCCTCCCTCAATCTCTCTCTTCCTCTCCCGTTGTGTCTTTCTCTCTGTGTTCATCATGGAACTATAGGAAGGTGGGAGTGGTCGGTCCTGCCCTTCCTTCAAGTTTTTGTGAGTGTGTTTTCTCTCAAAAGAGGCTGAAAAAGACACACACGGACTGTCCAGCTGGGGAAGCAGATGTGGGAGAAAGAATGTAGAGTTGGCGATGAGCCGGTTGAGAAGGTAAAACATAGACATAGTAACTTAGAAACAGACAGAGACCCCCTACTGGCACTCAGTAGGCGCAGCAACACCTGGACATTTTTTTGAAGACGTTTTGTATACTTTAAAGGCTTTACTCAAATATGATCTCAGATATTTATAATCAGGTAAAATGCAAACAACATCACTTCATTCATATGCCTAATAAATGTCTACAGCAAGAAGAGGGTGCAGAGTTAAGTGGCTATGTGGCACAGTGACCCACTGACACACTGCTGCCAGTTACATGATGTAACCAAGTTTAAGTAGCGCTCTTACATAAGCGCAGTGAGCCATGCATAAAAAAGGTTCCTCTGCCCTCTGACTACAGCAGTGTGTGTGTTGAGTGTGAGGAGGATTGGCAAACAATGCAAGCTTACTGCAGAGGAATAAGGGCACAGGAACAGAATACAAAAATGAAACCCTTTTCCAACATAAGGGCTTCTTTTCTACAGGTAATTTACACTCTTGCAGCCCAGGGATCACCCTCTTTCCAAAATTGAGCTCTTGTAGGGTTTTTCTTTTGTGGTAGCACAGTTTCAATTGGTTTTGAGATAATACCATATAGGAATTTCCCTTGATCTTTTCTTTTTAGATTATAACTGGTTGGGGGATTGTGTTGACAGATATATTACCTAATGAGGCTGCAAGAAGTTTTAATGTTCTAGATTAGTCGTATTAACTTCCATGATGATAATACATTTCTTTAGACCCTAGGTTTATGTGGTATAAGATTACAAATTATATTCAATGATTTTTAGGTCAATACAGTACTTGCTGCACATTGATGCCCTTTTCACAAACTTGGCTTTATAACTAGAGAGGATCAGCTGTGTTGCAGAATAGGTCATGTGATCTGCAGCTCTCCCTTATAGCAGTCCAAGCTTTCCATCAACACGCAGGCGAGGTAAGCTTAAAGCTGCTGTTACGCAGCAAAATGATGACCGTACCTGATCAGGCATATTGTGGTTTTCTGATGTTGAATTTAATCTAGAGGGGTGATATGCAGTGCATTAGAAAGTATTATTACACCTTTTAACTTTGCAAGTGTTTGGTAAAACATCTTTTAATCAGTTTCAACCGGGTCCTCCCAGTACAGAGAGTTATCGTGTTCCAAATAGTAACATCTAAGTGAGTTAAGTAATTTAACTGCACTGATTGTTTGCACACACAGAAGGTCTGCACATGACTCTGGAAAAGTAGTGATACCAGATGGATTGAGATTGATTTTTATGTCTGGATTGTTTGCCCTGTCAAAGCAACATGGCTAGGGTTATATTAATATGTAACACTCATGTGCATTATAGTAAGGCTGAAAGATACAAGCTTCTCCTTTAAGATTTTGCTCCAGATATGAGGAAAACGTACGGTTATAGGCAGGTCTGAAGAAAGGCCTTCATTTTTTTTTTTTTTTTTTTTTATCCATCATGTTGTTAAGTCATCATTTATCATGAACCAGCTTCAAATGAGAATTTTACTATTTTACATTTAAACGGACTTTGGTATGTTATAGTAGTAAAATGGTATAGATTTCTAAAGAAAATTAAACAAATCCAAATCTATCATGTTCAAAAACAGTTGTTTAGGGCTGAAAGAAATGAAATAAAGCTTCTTTATGGACAGTCTTCTTGCCATGTCCTAAAGCTCTTGATATCTCTTGTGCTTTTACAGCTTCAATTAAACAGCAAGTATGTCTTCACATGAAAAGATGTTGTTGTTTGAAATAGCTTCTTACCCCAATGTGCTTGATCTTGCATTCAAAACTCTATTTTAAACTTTGATTTTTCAGCAACTGCATTTACACTGAATCATTGTGTCGGCAGATTGACCTGGTAGAGCCAAAAGCTTGGTTTATACTTGACATGTTCGCCAGGTCCACACGGCCAAGTTAGGTCATTTTGGGCTTCCACTCCCCTCTGTGCAAACCAAATTTGAAAACAGAACACCTAGGAAAATCTGTTAATACATGGACAGATCCGTGTTGTGGTGATGTCAGCTTGCTCTTTCTGGCGAACACGCCTCCCCTCCCTCCAAAGCCAGCCAGAACAGAGGGTAAGCCGCACAAAGAATAAATGCTGCATACACTGTGACAGGCGCCTCATTTTCTGCACAGAATTTCTGTGCACCAAGCATAATGAGCTCTTAAGAGATGTATGGACAATCATTTGTAAAAGACTGCATTCCTGCTCTTCTGATCGGCCAGTAACCCGATTGGACTGAAAGTGTTTCCATTTCTCATGATAAGCTGCAAAACATACCCGTGGTTTTGCTTTCCTTATTTTAACTTCAACTGGTAAAAAAATGCTGAAGTACAGAAACATTTACAGACCCGCACTGGATTACATTAAGTTTATTACTGCTAAATACTTGCCATTTTTTGGTAATCCAATTAGTATTTTATGGAAAAATTCCAGTATGTATTTAATCATGAAAGGCTTTTAATGAGTGCCGTTTTGAAACTAACTGATTGAAATCTAGGAGTGGTTGATGCAGATGAAAATCACAAATGAAACTGCAAAATTAAATTCATGGTACAGCTCCCAGCGTGCTAAAAACAAAAATGAATAATGCCTTTCTAATTTTGACTGGTGAGTAAACATTATGATCACACTTTTCAAGATTATGTATTTTGTCCTAATTGAGATTTCATTAGATTGACATGATCTTTTTTGTCCTCATTGTTTTCTCTATGCACTGATGTGTGAAGTCAAGGCAGCTATTAGCTTCTGCCATTGCACAACAGCAGCATTGTGCCTGCAGGCAACCCTAGAGAGAGTATTATAGTTTGCTTATATATTCTTTGCTTTTATCTGCCTTGCCTTGTTAATCTTTTGATGAGTCTGGTTAATTTTATTCTGTCTCCAGTATTGTATTTATAACATTCCGCATTTACTTTTTCACAATATTTTTAGTTATTCGCCACCTTTAACATCTATGTTGATTTTAATTTTCTTCTGACAGTCTTTAAATGCAGTGATTTGAAATGTCTGAATCTGATACAAATATCCCTAAATAACATCATAAGTTCCCTCCAAGGAGGAAATTAGTCATCAGGCAAAGAAAATCAGGCAAAGCAAAACACTAAGAATAGGCCTAAAAAGGAGTCAGTGACTTACTAAGTCAACAACTGTGTGCAGCTGTAGTGGTTAGGCTGAAGCCATCACCTGATAAGAAGTTAAGTTGAGCATAAATACATGACATCAAGTGTGGCCTCATGCATACAAGTGACGCAGGTTGCTGTGTTGTCACGCAAATGCATCAAGTAATAGGCAGCTTTGATCTGAGAACAGCTGCATTATAAATACTACAGAAATAATGCCAACAGTGGGTGACTGAGAAAAACTGGAAAACTGTGTAGAAAGTGCACCTTTGAGCTACAAGATCAGCATATCCACTACTGTACTCTTAACATGCTTTCAGTTAGTAAGTATGATTTATGGATGTGTTAGGGCCAAAACACTCTGGACAAGATCTCACGTCCAACCCCGTGGATTGTCTAAAATGCGGCAATTATATCTCATTGACATGAGATGGGCTGGTCAGACCACACACGATCCTCTGCAACTATGTGAAGAAAATTATGGACAACAGTGAGTATCCTCTTTAGAAGATTTTTAAACAACACCAGAGCATATCAGGGAAGAGGCTTCTCCAGATCCGGTGAAAGGCAGACCACTACGGAAGATCCTTCATGCCAACAGCTAACACCTACATAACCAGTTTAAAAAATAACTTATGAGTTGCTGCAACATTTAATTTCCATCAGTGATTAATAAAGTATTTTTGAATTGAATTGGAATTAAATAGGTAGCAATTACAAGAATGTCATGAGTCTGACATGAGGTGACACACAAGGTGACGAAGTAAAACTCAACCACTTACTGGAAAATACAAAGTCATATCTCAGAATTTCAGGTAAACCAGCTAGGTTCTTGTCGTCTGGTAACACGGTGCATATAGAGCAAGCAGGGCAGACTCAGCAATACAGAATCAATAAGACATTTCAATAAACAGGGTTCTCTATCTGTGATTACAGAAGGCTAACTGCATAATAATCTATATGTCATACATGTGTTTCTATTTTATTTATTCTTTTAGATCTAAACATGCCAATTGATGCAAGGGAAGTTGAGAAATCATTCTTATAGGAATGTTTAAGTATTCTAAGTATTTTCAAATAATCTCTTTTTAATCTTTAAAACATAGTTTAAATACATGGAGACTAAAGTTCAATACATTAAACTAACTACAGAAGCTTAAATTCGGTGTAAAATTTTGAAAACATGCAGGAAAGATTTCAATTATACAGCATGTTAGTCATATACCAACCTGATGGTAACATGTCAGGCTGTTTCTGTAAGCTGGGATTGGACATAATGTTACTTTTCTTAAGGGTGTACAACTGAACCATTTGGTATTGAAAATATCCTTTATTCTATTGGGATTTTACAAAACAAATCTACTTATCCAATGCACCACAGTGTCTCGACAACTTTAACTTTTGTGCGAACTTATTTAACTATTACTCAAGAGCAACTAAGTTGCAATGCATAAGCAAAAAATCAGTGTGTGGTGGAGACTGGGGGGAAATATCCAAACTAAGAATCAATGTTTCCTGCTTTTCAGTAAGAGGAGTTACAAACACACTGACCAAAGCAGTTTGACAGCCATTTACTGGCTCTATGTACGGAATACCAATCAACCAGAGAG